GGGTTCCATCCCCAGCTGTGGGAGGGAAGCAGGGTCTGATGGGTTAGAGCGGGGGGGCTGGGAGCCCGGACTCCTGGGTTCTCTGCCCACCTCTGGGAGGGAAGCAGGGTCTGATGGGTTAGAGCAGGGGAGGTGCCGCCAGAGGAAGGTGATGCAGGTTTCTGAGTCTGGTTCCAGGAGCCCGGCCCCAGTGACCCGTGTCTGGGGACGCCCAGGCTCCTCTCTCACGTTTGGACGCCAGGGCCAGACGAGGAGGGTGACGGGAATTCCCCTGGCCCCCCCAGCGAAGAGCGCCGGGAGTGCCAGCTCCCATTGCAAAGCGCCTGGGACGGTGTCACCCTCATGCCATCTTTATTGTGGCTGAGCTGACAGCTGATTCGCTCCCACGTGCTTCTGGGCTGAGCCCCAGCCAGGGTCCAGGGGGCAGACATCCCGCCAGGCTGGAGAGAGGGCAGCGCTAGGGGACTGATGCCAGACAGCTGGGTTAGACTCCGCAGAGGGCACGTGCAGAGCGAGCAGCTGGAAGCACCAGCCCGGGGCAGACTGGGGCCCATCCAGCCCGGGCCCGTCTCCAGCAGTGTCAGAAGTCGTATGGAGCCCTGCAGGAGGCAGCGATGGGATAATCTGCCCTCAGGGAAACCCTTCCTGACCCCCAGTAGTTATACCCTGAAGCAGGAAGTTTTCCAGAGCACCTGCTGGTTTAGTGGATAGTCTCTGTATCGTCTGAATGTCCAACCCTTTTGTGAACCCTGCTGAACTCGGTGTCAGCAACACCTTGTGGGAGAGAGTTCCACTGGCCAACAGAAACTGTGTTTCCTCCTCACTGCCTTTGAACTTGCCACCTTCCTGTTTCGCTGACTGTCCCTTTGCTATGCGATAGGGAGAACCGAAGATCTAGCTGAGCCTTGGCCTGGAAGATGACTCTATTGTTCAGGGTCGGCCCATGCTGAGAGCAGCCCAGCGTTTATTCCTACAGTGTTATTTGCATCACTGCGGCCCACCGTGCTAGGCACAGCACGAGACCATCCCTTCCCGTCTGGGCATTCAATGGGCGTGGCAGGGGGCAGGCACAGTGAGGGGAAGTGATCGGCCCCAGGTCACCCAGCAGACAAGAGACCCGGGTGCATTCCCTGCCCCCCGAGCACTTTCCCTGAGCAAGACCAGCCTGAGATGAGAGCCAGGAGGAGAGGTTGGGGCGGGGAGGAGAATTGCTCAAGGAGGGGCCTGTAATCTCCATTTCTCTTCTGTAACCGGGGGCGCCATGTTCCCCGTGAAGCCGGGGCAGCCCTCGCACGGAGCTCTGATGAGCAGACGGCTCTGCCGGGCTGCCTGGCTTTCCCCTCTCGGCTTGGGTCTCTGCTTGCCCTCCGATGCGGGCTGGGAACGGCTGCTTTTCACCTGTGTCTCACTGTCCAGGAGCCCAGCCCACGGGCTTTGCTGCTCCAAGCTAGAAATCCAAATACAACAGTAGCCAAGGGTGGCAGGGGCTTCGGTTGGGCTGGGCTGGCCTTGGGATGCCGCCCTGAGGCCTGGGTCTCGAGACAGAGGCAGTTTGCGGGTAGGACTCACTGCTCTGCTCACTCCCTGCTGCCAACCTCTTGTCTGGATGCAGGCGGCAGATGCTGGGAGCTGTCCCAGTGCACCCAGGCGTCCACGTGGCTGATTTGCCGCTCTGCTGAGCCCTTTCGAATGCTAACGCTTAGACCCTGGCGCCCGTGCAGAGCAGGGGCGAAATGGGATTGTTTTGTGCCTGCTCTGCGCTGGCGGGAACGGCTGCCCCATGCAGAGCCAGAGGGAATCAGGACGTTCCCCTGGCATCTCCCATGCTGAGCTTCCCCAGTGAACCCATGTGTGTGATGAGCCAGTCTGGTGCTGGGCTGGGAAGCGGGAGAGCTGGGTTCTAATCCTGACACTTGACTCTCTGGGGCCGGGGCTGTCCCTCGCTCTCCGTCCGTGCAGCACTTGGCACGGCTGGTGCCCTGATCTTGGTCAGGGCCTGGGCAGCACCCGGAACAGCAGGGCTCCAGTCTCTGCTTTAATATTGTCATAACCGGGGTAGGCAGGACCCAGCCCTGCTCTGGCTCGGTGGCTACCGGCGCTGTACAGGGACGGGGGGGGTGGCACGTGAAGGCTGGTGTATACAAGGCAGCCTGGTCGCCCGCTGCTGTGACCCCTGGCAATATGAGCGGGTTATAGATGGGGGTTTGGAGGGGTCTTTCTGCCCCTCCCCAGCGAAGCAGAGCTGGTATCCCCATTGCACAGACAGGGACTGAGGCACAGAGGGGCTAAGTGACTTGCCCCAGGTCACACAGGGAGTCTGTTGCAGAGCAGGTCTCCCAAGGCCTAGGGTCGTGCCCTGACCACTGCCCCCTGTCCTCTCGGCTCAGGCCCTGCCACTCCCTCACCAGGGTGTGGGGAGCTGTGCACAGGGCAGTGAAAAGTCAGGTACAAGGCTCCAGGTGTTAACGAATTAGCCCGAAGCAAAGTGGTATTTGCATGTGGGATTTTCAGCCGATCTTGCTGGTGTTTTTTGGAGGTTTTGTGCATCGCCTGTTGAGGCGCTTGGGCCTGCTCCCTTCTGAGCTGTGGTTTTAGGGTTTGATTTAACCAGGCAGAACAAAATCTGGGATCCAGCTCTCAGCCGGATCAGTGACAATGGAGAGGGACCCGGATTGTAATTACGCCTGTGTGAATCCGGTTACTCCAGATCCACACTGGATTAACTGAGATCAGGCTCGAGGCCACAAACCCCCAGGAAGGTCCCTGCTTTGCCTGGACGTGAATCCCAGGGGTCAGGATCGACTGGGAGAGCGAGGAGCCTTGTACAGACATCAGCCTCCGCTGGCCGGAATCGATAGCGCCCCCTCGAAGGCACCGGGGCTCCAGTAACTTACAACCGCTGAAGACGGGGGCTGACTCGAGCCAGTTCCTGTCTAGCTCTGTCCTGGGATCGGGGGGTCCTCGTGGAGATGGGGGTGCCTTTCCCCCCAAAGTCGCACTGCTTTAACAGAAATCAGGGTTGAAAGGGATTCAGTTACACTGGTGCAAATGCCTGTGCTGCCGCCCTCCCGCCGATTTCACCCGGTGTGCCAGAGACACGCGCATGCTGGGGGAGGCGTCGGGTTCACACAGGCCCAGGGCAGCCAGCTGCAATCAGAGGCAGAGCGCCCACCGGGGGACTGGGCTGATGTAAGAACACACCGCTAGCCTTGCTGTGTGGCTGGACGCTGCTGCTGCCACGGGTGGGACGAACGTTCCCCCACCGCGCCCAGTTCTGGTGAGGGATTCAAGCAGGGACAGGAGCAGCATCTACCTGGCTCGGGGAGGCACCAACCGGCTGGCTGTCGGTAGGGGACGTTCTTGAAGCACTGCACAGCCCGGACAGGAGGCTGCCGAGCGTGGAGGGGTCTCTGTCACTGTAGTCCCAGCCCCCTCCCGCGCACCCTGCTCTGCCCCCCACTGATCCCCGCCTGCCTCAGCGGTTGGGCAGGTTTCTCTCCTGTAACCGTTCTCTCTGTCCTGCCGCAGGCTGCGGGAAGCTGACGGGTGTCAGTAACCCCATCACCATCCGGGCGTCGGGATCCCGGTTTGGATCGTGGATGACCGACACCATGGCTCCCAGCGCCGACAGCAGGGTGAGTGCTGAGGGCTTGCGCTGGCGGGTGAGTGCCGGGCTGGGGCCGGGAGGAGTCCGGGGGCTGCCTCGCCTTCCCATGGCTCCTCTCCCCTTGCAAGTCACCCACGTGGTTTGCATCACTCTGCAAAGCCTCAGACGGCTGCAGGCCAAGGCTTCCATGGCCGTTTTGGGTGCACACCGTGGAGGAAGGGGTCTGATCTCCAGCCCCCAAGAAGGGCGCAGCACCCGCAGTCGGGACCAGATCTCTCAGCAGCTCCTGACGCGCCACTCAAGGCAGGGTTTTCCCAGGAGCTCAGCACCCAGCGTGGATCTGCCGTGCTGGGCGCGTCAGACAATCTGGCCACTTATTCCGGTGCCTAAACAGCGGTTCTCAAACTTTTGAACTGGTAACCCCGTTCACACAGCCAGCCTGTGTGTGCGACCCCCTTATGAAGTAAAAACACTTTTTTTAAATTTAACTCTGTTATAAATGCTGGAAGTGGAGGCTGACAGCTCATGACCCCCATGTAATAACCTCATGACCCCCTGAGGGGTCACGACCCCCAGTTTGAAAACCTCTGGCCTAAAGAATTGCTGGCCCCGATCCTGGACAAGGAGCTCTTGTGACAATTCCAGCCCCACTCTGTCCATTTCCGTGCCCAGGGCCAGTCCAGCCTTTAATCCAGGCAATGGGAAACACAAACCCCTTAAAAACCGCCTGTAACAGTGGCCAGAGGAGATGAGCCTGGCGGGGGAGGGGGGGGGTGACGCTCAGCCAGCTCTGAAGTCAGGCACACCAGGCATTTCTATCATGGTGCCGCTCTAGTTCTTAAAACGTCGCTAAGCGTTCGGTCTGCAGAAAGAGCGAAAACCCGTTTAACGTGGTAGACTGTGGAGGGTGGGGAGAGCTAATAAAACTCTGGGAAACACCCGTAAAGGTGCAGCGTCTTCATTCTGCAGAGCTCAGTGTCTCAGCAGACCTCGAGAGAGGCAATTACTAGTGTAAAGAAATCCCAGTCCCCGTGAGAGATGCCAGCCCGTTTCGGCAGCCAAGCACCCCAGCTTTTCTGCCAGGAGGGCCAGGGCTGCACGCTGGAGGATATTAACAATGTGGAGCAGAAGCAGAGGCTCCTGTTTCTAATTCCACATCTCTCTCATTAATTGTCTTTCTGTTGCACCTCCTGCAAACGGTGTTGGGTGCCCCCTAGCAGCGTGTCCCACGTGCGTAGCCGGAGAGTGAGCCTGGCGCCTGGAGTAACCTCTGGCCACACGTTGGTACAAAGCGGGTTAGACCCTCCGCTGGCGTCACCTGGCACCGGGAACATGTACTAGGAAGGGGGTGGGGGCAGGGAAGCGTGCTACATGCCCCCCAGCGATGGTGTCTTGAAGCCTAAAGATACCCTAGGCCTTGTCGACTTGGAAACTGGGGCCAGACTAACG